TTTTTTTTTTTTTTTTTTTTTTTTTGTGACCAGTAAGGGTTTCGTAACCCTTGGCTTGGTGTCGCCTGCACCGCACTCAGCCAGTGAGCGCCCGGGCCATCCCTATATAGAATCCAAACCTGCGGCCTTGGCGCTGGAGCGCTGCTGCGCTCCCAGCGCCACACTCTCCCAAGTGAGCCACGGGGCCGGCCCCTCTTATGTCTCTTAATGTATAGTTTTATTTTAAGGCAGGGATTCATTGTTACATCCTTTTATGAAAAAAAAATGTCCTGGGTCAAGACTATGTTGTTAAGACCATTAAAATTCCAAAAGTCACATCATCACTATTGAACCATGTAGTATTTATGAGCTACTTTACTATAACAATTAGAGTCTGTTAAACTTGCTGGCCTAAATCATTAGATTAGTTGAAATTGAACCCATTCTCACATATTTGGCTATCTAGTATTTTTATATCTTATTCCAAGGTGGGATGATATATGAGATCCTAATCTGAAAATACAGTTTCCTAATAGCATCGTGGTTTTCAAAGGCCTGCTCCATACAAATAGAGGGCAGCTCATTAAACACATGGATGAGAGATGCCCTTAAAGCAATCAGCCCTGAATATTAATGGCACAGAATATTAAATAATTGATTGCAGGTAAAGAATGATATATAACTATAACCAATGAATTTAGATGACTATTATTAAACTGTTTCAGGGAAGAGTGTGAAAAGGAAAATTAAAAAGGGCAAGGCATTAATATTTTCTTCAGATTTTTCTTCTTAGAAATAGCTACATGGTTCAGTGTCTTCTAACTTTGTATAAATATATAGAACACAGATTTTTGTAGTTAAAGGTAGTGCTCTGATTTTTGTAATAAAAACTTTTTTTTTACATTTTATTTCATTGATCGAAATAACTCATGTCATCAGGAGAGTAGTGTCAATTAACATAGTGACATATTTGAAAATAAAATTTTAATTACTAATGTAAGTTATTTGTCATTTTAGGAAATATTCTGAAGCACACAAGGATAATCTTTTCAGATGGGTCAATTGAGATTGGACAAAGTAGAGTAATGCTATTATTCTAATTCAGGACAAAGATTCATAACTTTTTTTGGGGGGGTGGGGAGTAAAGAGGAGTATTTTACTTTTCCCAAAGTAAAATCTAAATAGTATCACTGTCCCTTAAGACTTTGAAAATTATAAAACAAAACAACATTAGTTACTACTTTAAATTTGACCTACCTGTGTACATATGTGAAAGATACAGGTTCATAATCTCTTAAGATGCAATCTAAGATGAAATTAAAAAGTCAAAATTCTTGGGCCGAGCCCGTGGCGCACTCGGGAGACTGCGGCGCTTGGGAGCACAGCAGCGCTCCCGCCGCTGGTTCGGATCCTATATGGGGACGACCGGTGCGCTCGCAGCACTCACTGGCTGAGCGCGGTGCGGCCGGTCTCAAAAAGGACAAAAAAAAAAAAAAAAGTCAAAATTTTTAAACATAAATTTCATGGCTTTCTTGTCTCCATCTTCATTAAAATTTTTTCACAAATTCTGTAATCAATCTTTAGGAAAAACAGAGACAGTTATATACCTGAAAGGCTATCACATTTTGGAACAAATTGTTATACTATTACTTTTAAGAATACATTATAAACGATGTTTAGATAGCTGTTATATTTCAGAAAATATTGAAATAATAGGAGTAAGTAAAGAAAAAACGAAATTTTAATTCTTATTTTATTACTATAAACTTTGGAGTAAATAAACATTCTGCTTAAATGGGAAGCAACTGATGCCATTTTCTTCTGTTGAACCAAACCCGCATTTGTAAATTTTAGTTAAAATAGTAGGTCCTTATCTATTCTGTATTCTTCTTTTCCTTATATCTTGCTAGAACTATTCATCTTCTATTGGTGTAAAAATTTTGAACATAAAAAGTTATCTCACCAGAAAAATCAAAGATTTATATTTGTGATTCTTAATAATAATTCAAATGGGGTTTGATGTCTAATATAAAAATTGATTGAAAATGAGCTACCTTTTGAATGAAATTAACTAATTGAAGTTATTCTCTTAGCCATTGACACTCAGTGTGAAATAGAGTACCTTCCAAGTAAAAGTTTCTCTGATGATTCATTGGACTAGTTTATGGTTTACGATATATATTCACTGCCATTTATTTTATATGTAAAGAGGAAAAACTAATTTTATTTATGTGGCGCTATTAGAGAACAGTTTGTAAAGAGGAAAACATACTGCCAAACAGAAAAATGTATTTAATTTCTGTTATGTTGACATTTTAGAGTATGTGAACTAATATATTATTCTGTTTGTTTTTGTGTTTCCAGGTTAACTACATTTTCCTCAGCTTTATACCAAAACTAAGAGAAGACATTACGATTTTCATCATTTCTGGGTTGTTTTCTTCCTGAAGAGCAATGGAGGTGCTTTTAAATGGAAGAGGATTAATTATATCCTTAATTTTCCTTCTGTTGAAATTCTCAACAGCGATTGAAATACCACTCTTAGGTAAGGTGATAGCATTCAGTACCTATTTATGGAATTTTATATTTGCATTTTGATTTTTAAGTAGAATACTTGGAGTTTGACGATATGACTTTCTACTATATTTCTATATATTTTCCAGCAATCTGTCATCAAAATTTATGTTTGCTGTTTTCGTTTTCCAGGTAACTGATATTTGGCTACTACAATCATTTTGCAGTTCAGGTTTTTTGCCTCTTAGCACATAGCAAGAAAAATAATCTATAGATCCAATGGTATTTTGCTATCTGTCTAAGATTGTCTGTAATAATACAAAAAGCTTTTACTTTTGTACACTTAGGTTAATTTATTTCGGAGAGGCTTGTGATTCAGAAATTACTGGCACTCAAACAATTATACCAAAAAGGAACTGAATAAACTTTGAATTCTTTAAAAAAAGACTATATATTTAAGAATAAAACAATGTATTTGAAAAATGAAAAAGACATTTTACAACTAAAAATATAAGACGATATGAACTTAAAATCTAGAGTATTATGTAGTATGAATTCATATCAAGAGGTTAGTCGGTGGTCTTATGGAAATACATGTCTTAACATATGTTGGTAAAAATGGATCATAAATTTGTTTGAAATAGTTATAGTAATTAATTATTCAAAAAATAATACATCTGCAAACACAATTTATGAGATAGTACATTGCATCTGTAATGTAGGGATTTGGGGAATTTTTCTTGTGTTACAAGCATATAGGATATAAAAGACCCTTAAGAGGTTACTTAGAAATTTTTATCCATACAGTTCAGGTATAATTCCTATATAATTTGGAGAGTTATAATATAAGTGGTATTAGTTGTTTGTTAGAATTAGCATTGGAAATGATCTTTATGGATCATCTAAATTCTAGAGAAATAGTCTCGAACTCAGAAAATGTAATTGCTGTTAGAAAAGTACTAACAATGAACTGAAGCTTTCTTTTTGAATTACTCAGACAGACTGAATGTGAATAGAAAAGGAAATGAGTCTCTAACTGTATAACATAATGTCTTTTAAAACCATTTCTGAGGGCTGTCTTAAATTCCTTCATGTAGGAGTTTTACATCACATACTTTGCGAAGCTTTGCACTTGTAGTTCAACCCCCCAGGTAAAAATTCCTTCTCTACTGTTCTTAGCAGATAGTTAAGACTGTTTCAATATTCCCATTTCTTAAGGAATTCTTCTTACCTGTCCTACAGATATACAGACTGAGAGTTCTCTTTACATTTAGCTGAAATATTTCAGCCTACACACGATATATCAAATTTCATCACTGGCCAGCTTAGTTGTAAAAATTCTAGTTAAGAGGCTGAAGTACCCTCATCTTTAGTGGATTCTTTTGGTTTGAATATGGAAGGCTTGATTAAGAGCAAGTTTCTTGGTGATCCTGAGAAAAAGGGGTTAATAATTTCACATTTTCTTCTCAGTAACAACAAAGTTGCCACTGAGATTCCTGATTCAGGTTCTTGATCATATTCTTTGACCTACACACTTATTCTTCATCTTTTCTCACTTTGTTCATCAGTGGTGAAGGAGGTGAAATTTTGTGTTAATCCATGGCACACATTTTTATTCTGGTTGTCTCAATTACTTATGCATTTTCATGCTGTAACATCCTTAGACAACAATTGTCATAAAATATTAATGGCATGTTTTCAGAACTGAATATTATTCATTTATTTCAGTACTCCAGAGCACTCACTAGTAAATGCAACTAAGGCAGGTATCCAATTTGAATGTCAACAATCCTGGTGTCTCTGTAATTGGCCTAATTATAGAGGAAAGGATTTATAATGTAGAATATATATTCTTATAAACACCCAAAGGCTATTAGCTCCATTCCCTGAGTAATTAGTTATTGCTGAGCCTTTACAACCTTAGCAAATTTAAGGAAGAATAATGTTCTACTGAACAAGTTGTTTGCAAGTTATTCTCAGATGAGGGACTGTTGCTGTTGTGCATTATCCCTCAGCATTTATAACTGTAATAAAATTTAAATAATATGAATTTGCAGTGACCTCAAGATCTGCTCTACTTAGAAATAGCAGTAATCAGAAATAAAGTAAATGTCAATGAAAACATGGATTTTTTAGCATGTTAGTAAAATATTTATAAATATCCTATGGATAAAGACCAACCTTAAACTAATGTCCATAAGCTAGTAAAACTTATCAGATTTATTAGGCAAAAGTAAAGAAAATGGAATTTTAGAATTGGAAAGGGCAGTTAGTTATTATTCTAGGCTAGCTGTCAATGCTCACAATGTGTTTTGTAGACCCTTTGGGGTCCCAGAGATACTAATAACACTAAGTTGCTATTTTTACTATTTCACCGTGTTATCATTTGCTCTGATGGGACAAAAGCAATGGTGGCAAAACTGCTGTTGCCCTAGCTTAGTCAAGGCATTGGCACCTGACTGTACTCATACTCAAGGTGTTCTTCATGGTCACGTACTCACAGTAAATAACCTAAAAAAGAAAATGGTTTTGGGCCGGCCCAGTGGCGCACTGGATAGTGCGCCGCTTGGGAAGCGCGGCGGCACTCCCGCCCGAGGGTTCGGATCCCACATACAGACCGGTTCCCGCTCACTGGCTGAGCGAGGTGCAGGAGCAACACCGAGGGTTGCGATCCCGTTGCCGGTCCCGGTCTGGTACGGGGGCGACACTGAGGGTTGCGATCTGTTGCCGGACACGGAAAAAAGACAAAAAAAAAAAAAAAAGAAAATGGTTTTGCTTAAGATTTCAATTGTTGAAGCAGTTAAACATTATTAATTGCAGTAATTTCCTACCTTTGAATAATTCTTTCTAATATTGGGATGAACTGGGAAATAGACATAAAATAATTCTGCTGCGTATCAAAGTACGATGATTGTTTCTGTTCCTTGATTGTATCATTACTTGAGTCCTAAGCTGGGCATCATTTTTACTTGATAATATGACTGACAAATTGCAGTCTCTCAGATGGATATAAGGTGGATATTTTCCTCAAAATGAACCAAGAGAGCCTGTCATTTCAAGGTCAACAACTGGCAATATATGTTGTCAACGATAAAATTTGGGTGTTCAAGCAAAATTTTTGATATTCTATAATGAAATATGTCAATATTTGGAAGATCTGTGTAACTCAGTGAACCAGTATTTTTTCCAAATGTCTACTGCATGATGTTACAACATCATGTTAGAACATCATGCATAGGTTTAAAAGAGCCCATAAGTAAAATAGTTTAATGTAACAGAATATGAAATGTTTATTGATAGGTTTCAGATTCCACATTACAATAAACTTTTAAGAAATTACCACTTGTTTGGTTTCAGTGTACTAATCAATAGGAATATCTGCAATAATCAGAAAAGACTATAAAATTTCCCACCGTTTTTCAACTACATATCTACACAAGGCTGAATTTCCTTCACATTTTTAAACAAATCAACCTATTGCAGCAGATTGAACGCAGAAGCAGATTTGAGAATCCAGTTGCCTTCTCTTAAGAAATTAGAGATTTGTAGTAATGTAAAACAGTGCCACTCTTTTCATTATATTCAGTTTTTCATAAAATGTTATTTATTTCAGCATATCATAGGATTATTTTAAATGCATTCATACATAAATATTTTAAGTATTTTCTAGTTTTAATTCCTAATATGGTTAATGTTGTTAGATATAATCCACATGAACAAAAGCTCTTTGGGATATCTTATAATTGTTAAGAATATAAAAGAGATGTGAGACCAAAATGTCTGGGAGCAACTTATCTGGGCTGAATCCTTAATTTTATAAATAAGAAAACAGAGAGTGGTTCAGGGCCTGGCGCAATGTCACAGGTTTTAGGGTCCTATTTGTAACTCTATTGTGGGATATTACTCAAATAAATCAGGATCTTTGCCTGCCAGCAAATTGCTTTTCTCAAAACATCTTTGCCAAACTCAGATTCCTGCTGCTGAAAAGTTTGCATTTCCTTACAAATTTTACCCTGTCCCTTTATTAGAGGTTCTAAGAACTGTATTAAAATAGGAATGTCTCAATTTGAAAAATGTTGAGTGTTCATTGGCAGTAGATCTTTACATACATTATGATCTGTGTCCTATTTCCAGACAATCCAAGTTTGTATCTTTAGCAGTAGTACATGTATTTTATAGTTCCCACAATTCTCAAAAATGTGGTCTAGCTACCTGACTGGGTGAGAGGCAAAGTCACCCCCTATTTTTTCAAATATTATTTGTTTCGAGGGATTACTAAACTTGTCCAGCACTAGCAGAATTTATTACAAGATGAGGGGGTATTTGAATATGAAGACTCTATTAACAACAACAAAGAACCCATATTATGTATTAGCTATTATTTTTGCATTAATGATTATTAGTGGGTTAAATTCTATAAGAAAAAGACCCCCAAAAAGCAAAAACTCAAGCTTCTAAGAGGTAAGTGGGAAAAAGATATAAAAGGAAAGTGTATAAATGGGAAATAACAAATACTAAGCAAGTTAATGGAAAAACATTTATTGGTAAAAGCAATAAATGGAAATTGAAATAAAGAGAATGGGGAGGTTATATTTTCTTTTGTAATAAATAGTAAAATACTTTTATCACTTTTAAATGCTAGTGTTCATTGGTGGCGAGGATGTGGGGTACCTCTGTACTCACGTGTTGTTTGTGGTCAATATCTCTTGATAAAATGATATTAGCATTTATCCAGCGTCATTACCATTAGTGTGCATTCCTGCAAATTTATTATAAATCAGTAATTTAGCATAGGAAAAATATATATGCTCAAGGATGTTTATTGAAATACATGTTACCTGGAAAGAAAAAAAAAAAAGAAAAACAATATAATGTCCAATAAGAAATAATGTGAAAGCAGAAAATTATTTATAATGTCTATACAGAAGCATAAAAAATCATAAAGAGAACTTAAAAAATGACTGAACTAAATAAAAATGCATATGCACCTCAATGTAGACTGAATGTCAATAATTTAAAAAGTACTGTAGATAGTTTAAAGTTGCAATGATATGGCAGTATTTGTTGTGCTTTAAAATTTGTTACATTATTCTGGGTTTAAATAAAATCAACAAGTTAAGTAACATAAGATGATGTCAGTGAAGTGTATTCCTTAGGAGTAAACACATGTTGCAAAGAGGAAGTCAGGTTTCTTTCATAATTTTCACTCCTGTATCATTCTTTTACTTACCAATACAGAAGCTTGTTAAAAAGTGTTCCTGTTATAGCTAAATTAATCTTGCCCAGTTTTTGAGGAGCATGTTCTTTAAGAACTTATTTTAATATTTAGTTCAACAGGTTCCAACAATCACGAAACAGTCAAAAGTGCAAGTTGCCTTTCCCTTTGATGAGTATTTTCAAATTGAATGTGAAGCTAAAGGAAATCCAGAGCCAATGTGAGTATTCCTTCAAACTCAGTAGTTCCTTAAATCTGTGCTGTCCTTTACACTGTATTTTACTCTGACCATCATAAGCTTCTTGAAATAGAAAACTGCATACTCATATGATTGAAGCTAAGGGTTTACAAGTGAATAACAGCCAAGTGTGTAAAAAAGTTTGGTTATTTTACATATGTTCTGCCAGTTGAATTTATTTTACCATAAACTAAAGTGCCTTATGTTAAATACTTAGAGCTGTCTTTGGCACAATGGAAGTACTCTACAATTCCTTACCATAAAAGTAAAGAAGGTAGCTGAAAACTAGAAAATCCTTTATTTTACTTAGTGAAAGGTAACATTAATCTAAAGTTAACACATTTACGAACAACATTCTAAACATTTATTATTGTATTTCTTTAAATTTGACACACCTCTTATTCTGTGAATAAGTTACTTGATTTTTTTTTTTAAGTTCTCATAGAAATACTGTCATGCCAGATGGCAGAACACTATCTACATGGTATGCTACTATCTCTTATTGTTTTATTAATTCAATAATTTTCATATATACAAATTTACATAGGTAAGTGTTATATAGACGAATAAAATCTAATCGGGAAGTCATTATTTGTCTATTAGATTGATCAAGATCAAAATGTTCTTTATATTATTGTTCATGGAACTGACACTATTGCATATTGTGGTGGGAATTTAATGTGTATATATTTTTCAGGAATACAATTCTGCAATATTTATCAAAGCATAAAAAATTTCTGACATTATTGGCCTATTAATGTCATTTCCAAGAAATTGGCCTAAATAAATACTTGAACAATTACCAGAAAATAAATATGTATGGTTGTTTATCACAATATTGTTCATAAAAGGGAAAACATTGAAATGTTTTAGTTAAAATAGTAACCAATGGCAGAAGATAACATAGTGATAAAAACTGTCTTTACTAACGTTGTTAGAACTAAAAAAAATCAGTTGGTAGAATTATATATTCAGCATGGTCTCGAATATGTGACAAATAAGTCTAAAAATAGGAAATTAGGAAATAAACCAACCGATAATACTTGCTTGTGTGTTTTTGGATTTTGAGTGAGCTTTTTTACACACAAGCACAAATGTATTATATGTTATTGATGGATCTTGGATTTGACTGGCACCATTGTGTACACAGTAAGCACAAAATAGCTGCAGGCCTTGTCTTCCACTCCAGCACCAAACACCTCCCGCACTTCCCTTTATAAGAAGCCTCAAGACTTAAACAGAAACCCTTTTGCTTCCTCAAGGATGCCGTTCTCCACCCTGGTCACATAGTTTCCACATTAGCATAATGTCCCTCCTTGATGGTATCAGCCAACCCTTGGCACCCTATATAAGCTCTACCACTCCCACACCTGGTGCTGTCCTCCACTTTGAGGGCAGCCCTGGGCTGCCCCCCCACCCCCACTTTGGATGCAGCCTGGCAGATTCTTTTCCTTTAATAAAGCTTGATCAGTACCCAGCATCTCAGCTCACTTTCTTTCAATTGTATGTTATAAATATATTTATTGCAAAAATATTGTCTCAAAAATATTGGTAATAATCTTGCATTATATTTCTTATTAGAAAAATTTAAGAATAACATTAATTAAAAAGAGCAGAACAAAACCCAACTTCAATTGCATTCTTTTAGTTGTCACAACTTTTTCATCGATTCTAAGATTTTCAGATTTTTCTGAGATCCGTATTTATATTTTATTATATTCCATCAAATAGATATTTTTTACTATAAAATGTCTTGGCTTGGTCATTTTTGTGTATTTGTTTATACTTTAAAATTAACAAATATGTTATAATTTTTCAGGATTATTGAGTCTAGTTTTATCCTACAGATTTATGTGGACTAAGGATGACAAGCATTTTAATCTCTCTGACCCTCGGATAATCGTATCTAACAATTCAGGAACATTCAAGATCCCAAATGAGGGGCACATATCTCACTTTCAAGGGAAATACCGCTGTTTTGCTTCTAATAAACTGGGAGTTGCTATGTCAGAAGAAATAGAATTCGTAGTTCCAAGTAAGTATTACAATGGAGATTTTCTTTTTTGACAAATGTTTTAGAGAAGTGTTAAATAGGAGTTATATTGGGCACTAATGAAATAAAGCATTTTTAATTTAATCAGTTTATGTATGTCTTATATTTTATTTATAAGGGCAATTCTCTCACAGATCTTGTGGCTTAAAATTGGATGACCTTAGACAGCAACATAATTTTGTTTTGTTTCGGTAGACTTACATCTAATATGGGAAAAAATAATACCACTTTGCCTCACACAATGAGAATTAAGTTAAATACGGTATTATTTAGATTTGGCTAAATTAAGCTACAGTAATAGATTTCAAAGCCCATGTATCAGCACAAAGTTATTCTTTGATAATGCAGTTTGCTGTGGGTCTGTCAATTCCTCAGGGCACATGTTCTGTATGTGACTTCCTTGGTGATCCAAGCTGATGAAGACACATCATCATCCTCTGGTGGCATCATGTGAAACATGCCACTTTGGTCAGAGTCTGGGACAGAGAGCATAATCAGTTTTATGCAGTCACTTAAATGCTTCCAGGGAGAAGTTACACGAGCACCTTCTACTCGTATTTTCTTAGGTGGGGCAAAGCACGCCACATTGCCTGACCTAACTCAATAACATGAGTGCCCATTAGAAAAGGAGAACCAGCTGTTGGTATTGCTAAATAAAAATCATGGAAAACTGCAAAGCACTTTGCTATTAAAGGTGTTATTTATTTATCAGTAATTGTCACCAGGAGTAGTTTATTATTAGCATATTTTGCCTTTGTTCATGGGATTTTTGATGAGCACCTTCCATATTTGGTCATTTATTTTTCCTGATCTTAAGGTGTACATCATTACACAGTTCTAACCAAAGGTTTTACAGGGTAGATTCTTACATATAAAACTGTCAGTTACCTTCTACTTGGCAATTTCTTCTTTCAGAGTCCTGGACACTGAAAGAATTCAAAGAAAGTCCTAGATCCTACAAAATATGGACATTTGATTCCGGGGTGCAGAATGTACACAGACTTCAGAAAAACAAATAATGACCATTGTTTATCACGCAAGTTGTGAGAGAGCATTGTATTTAAATTGCTCTATTTAAATTGCTCTAAAGTTCTTATATAATTCTAGAGGAGGGAATATAGATAACATTTTGAGTCTTATAAGTAAAATATGCATCTTAAAATTTATAGAGTAATTATACTAAAAGTATAGAAAAGGACTGAGTGATTATGAAATTTTGTGGTGCATGGGGAGGGATAAAAGGTAAGAACGGAGAGAAAACAAGAAAAATGAGATAAGTAGAAAGAAAGAAATGTAGAAATAAATCCAAATATGTCATGAATGAAAGATAGAAATAGAATAAGTGCTCCAATTTAAAAAACAAAACAAAACACTGTGACTCTTTACAACATAATACATCTAAATTATAAAGATACAGAATAAATCAAAATGAAAAAGATAGAAAAGATATCCCAGATAAATGCTATCCAAAAGAAGGTAGATATAACTACATTGATATCAGTCTAGACTATTTTAAAAAGCATTCCTGGAGATTAATTCACTAAGTATGTATAATATTGAAATACAGGAAGCAAAAATAGAAGTACAAGGAGAAAGAGATAAATCTATCATAATAATGAGAGATATTAACATATCTCTTTCATTATTTGGTGGCTCAAGTTGAGAAAAACATCAGTAAGCATGTAGGAGGTTTAAATAGCCCAGTTATAAGCTCCTGCTAAGGAACATGTACAGAACATTGTCCCTAAAACTGCAGAATGCATCTTTTTATGTGCACAAGAAAATAATTGTATTTGATGACACTGAGCTGTGAAGAGAATATGATCAATATGGAACTATGGTAGAAATCGATAATGAAAAGAAAACTAAAAATGTTTTATGTCCTTGTTTTTTTAATTGAAATGTAATTGAATATTCATATTTGTGAGGTGCAGAGTTGAATAGAAATACCTGTGTACAATGTGTGATGATCAAGTCAAGAGAGTTACCATATTCATCATCACAAAATGTAATCATTTCTTTGTGTTGAGGACATTGTATCTCCTCTCTTCTAGTCATTTGATAACGTGCAGTAAATTAATGTTAATTAAAGATGCCTACCTCGACTATACATCAATAGAACTTATTTTTCTTGTCTCATATCTTTGAAAATGAATAAACATATCTCTAAGTAACTCATAGGCCCAGTAACAAATGGCAAGGGAAAATAAAATATGTTTTGAAGACAGCAAAAACTCTGCATAACTAAATATATTTGATGCAGCAAAAGCATTATTAATAAGGATGTATGTCGTTTTAAAAAACTTATATTTGAAAAGAAGAAAGGATAAAAATTAATTATGTCAGCTTATTAGGTAACGTAATTTTAGGGTGAAAATGAATGAGCTAACTTAAAGTAGCAGAATAAACTGGAAGGAAGAGAGAAAATAGTATAGAAAAAGTAAATCTAACAAAGTGGTATGCAACCTTTACAGTGAAAAGTATGCATATTTATTAAAAAACACTGTCTATATAAACCAGGAATATCTGTGGTAGTATTGTTTGTATTAAGAAATATACTGAGGGAAAAAAGTTACTTATAGTAGCATTGGATAAGTAAGTTGTGATATATTGATACAGAAAATACTACTTAGGAGTGAAAAAAACTTCAGAAATATATTGAGCAATAATAGCAAATCTTGGAGAAATACATACAGTGTGATTTTATTTATGTAAGTTCAAAATACAGTCAGCCCTCTATATCTGGATTCCCCATCTACAGAATCAACCAACAGTGGATCGAAAATACCCTATTTTAATACATGCATATACTGCACAATGATTCACTGAAGGTAGATAGCATAGTTTTGTACCCATTAGTCCACAACTTTTATTGAAACAACATACTGTACCCCTAAATATGTACAAGTGAATATTAAAATATTTTGAATAAAAAAAGAAAGATAATACAGTATTTGTGGGATGCAGAACCTGTGGATGTGGAGGGCTGACTTTTTGCATCCGCAGGTTCTGCAGGGCTAGACTGGGAGACATGAGCATCCAGGGATTTTGTTATCTGCAGGGGTCCTGTAACTAATCCCCTGTGGATACCGAGGGACCACTGTATGCAAAACTAAGTAAAATATTGATAAGGAGTATGATTTTATGTGATAAGATTATAATGAAAAACAAGAGAATGATAAAAACCATTCTCAGGATAGTAGTTACCTCTAAGTACCGAGGGACCACTGTATGCAAAACTAAGTAAAATATTGATAAGGAGTATGATTTTATGTGGTAAGATTATAATGAAAAACAAAAGAATGATAAAAACCATTCTCAGGATAGTAGTTACCTCTAACGGAAGTGGGAAGGGCTGGGATCAGCACCAGACAGAAAGGTAATAAAAATATTGTTGTTTGTAAAATAGATGGTGAGTAAAAGAGGTTCAGTCATATTTCTTTCTTTCTTAGTATTCTTCACATTTATTTTATAAATGGTCTTTTTGCATACTCATAATGAGTAAGTATGTAGCATATTGATTGGTCTGAAGTAGTTGTTCTGGGTTATGAGATATTATAGCATAGATATGGACAGAGCAGTGACGTGTAAACTCGGAAGTGGCCCCAGGAGTTTGGATTTGAAACGACACGCAATAGGAAATGTTTATGAATTCTGGATCAGAAAGTATTGCCATGAAGATTGCAGTTAAGAATCATGGAACTATACACACACAAATACACACACACACACACACACACACACACACACTTAACTGAAATAAGACTAGAAATATAAAATGAGAGAGAGGGAGATCAAATATCTGTTGTAAAAGACAATGCATTAGGGTGATCCCTAACCTGAATTCTAGTGGTTGCTATGGTGATGCAAAGGAAAAGGCAGTAAGTAGCTAGATCTATTGCAAAGAAAAAGAAATGGCACAATTTAGTATAAGATTCTGCAAGTAAAGAATTTTTAAAGTATTTTCTCTCGTTATCTAAGCAGACCAAGTGAATGAACAATGTAAGGATAATTCTGGCCCAGCATATGCTAATCTTGTAGTGAAGAGTTGGGAGTTGGATCTCAGCTATGTATTGGGTAATTGCTCTATTTTTCTGCTGCTGTAGAAAAGAGCAAAATTAATTAGATTTCTTATGCATCATTTCCAGTCTCTCCTAAAATAACTTCATCATCTGACAGCTTTCTGTAATTATATGTTGAATAGGACCACTACCCTAACACTTAGGAGTTTTATAAACCAGAGATCATCTAAAGCTTCCTACAACCTTTAACAATTGATTCTTCTCTTAAGCTGTAGAGAATCGATTCTTCTTTTATATTGATAGAAACTTTCTGATTTGAGTTTTAGAGTTTATTTCTCTCAATCTGCTGTTATTACTCCCTACAAATAAAAACCTGTACATACAATGTTCAGTTTTCTATTTTCAACAACACTGTAGTTGAGTTTGCTGAGGAAAGAGTGAAAGAAAAAAACAACCAAACAAACAAAACATACTGTTTTCAAATACATGGAAAACTAAATGGGTTTTCCAAGACATGAAATAGGGATTTACTCAGTTTATTTTTCAACAAGTCTTTGTTAAACTTCCCTCATGTGCCAGCCACTTTTCTAGTAATTTGGGATATAACTGAACAGAGACTCCTCTCAAGAAATTTACATCCTAAGGATGTGGCAGGTGGCTCTGGTAAGAGTGGAAGCTATTTTCTTGCCTTCATTATTTAACTATCAATAAGGTTAAAATGATAACATAAATAATTCTACTCTGGCTATTTAATACTACCCACCTTCAGGGAACAGATCAGATTTCTCCTCATAGCATTCCTAATCTATGCTGGCCTATACTGATTTTTCTTTTCTCTGATTTTTTTAAGCAACTTTTTTGAGGTATTATTTACATGTCATAGACTTGACCTGTTTTCAGTGTACAACCAACAATTTTTTAGTGGAACATCATCATAATCTAGAATTAGAACTTTTCATC